ATTTATTTATTAAATTTATATGCCACACAACTTATTCTGAAAAGCAGCTCTTTTTAATTCTCTAAAAGAACTGTTGCAAGGTTATTAAGTACAGTATCTGTGACTCTGCATGTGGAATATTTTTTGCAGAGTCTGATATCTATATAGATTTTCCAATTTCACATTTTTCATTTCTTCTCAGAAAGAAATGCATGGGACTGCAACAATACAGCTTCAAATGTATGCATTGCTTTCTGATTCATCTTCCTGGCCCTCTGTTTATTTTTTTCAATTCATTCTCTCTTATAGCTTATTTCATAATCCCTCATTCAACCAATTTGTTACTTGCTTTTAAAAATGCAAGGATGCCCACATGCACAATATAATCTTAATTAATTTAAGAATAGAACTGAACTTCCTCAATTGAAAATATTTATAACATGGAGACTTTCGAGCCTCCCAAGTATATTGAACCACACTTCCCTGTAACTTCATTATTTACAACTAATGACAATGAAACGGCAGAAATCGTTATTCAGCAATATTTAGAAAGTTATTTATCTGAACTATTCCCAATTACAAAATGACATTAGCTACTTTTCAAGAAAGAAAATACCGTAAATGCCGGCGTATAAGATGACTTCCGCGAGCGCTGAAATCGGCGCCAAAGACGGGGGTCGTCTTATACGCCGAATCGTCTTATACGCCGGAAATACTGGTAGTTTCCAGCGTATAAGACGACGTTCTAGGAATGCGGCCTGGCTATAAAGACGGGGGTCGTCTTATACACCGGGTCGCCTAATACGCCGGCATATACGGTAACCTCACAAGAGACTTTTCTCTGTCTCTTACTTTTTCACTGGAGGTTTCTATTCCATATGCTTTTGCCTGTGATGGGTTTTAGGCGCAGTATGAAAGGATAAATATGCAAATGGAATTCAACAGTGCCATATCATATGACTACAGCAATGTACTGCACATTATCATTCTAAATAGATGCCCAATTCAGTCTCAGATTCCAACCTAAAGGATCAGATGGGTTTAATATCCTTCACAAGTCTTTGGTATTAAACAGTATTCCAGTATCTCAGGAGCTGCCACAAAGAAGAGGGAGTCAAGCTATTTTCCAAGGCGCCTGAAGGCAGGACAAGAAGCAACGGATGGAAACTAACCAAGGAGAGAAGCAACCTAGAACTAAGGAGAAACTTCCAGACAGTTAGAACAATTAACCAGTGGAACAACCTGCCTCCAGAAGCGGTGAATGCTCCAACACTGGAAGTTTTTAAGAAGAGGCTGGACAGCCATTTGTTTGAAATGGTATAGGGTTTCCTGCCTGAGAAGGGGGTTGGACTAGATGACCTCCAAGGTCCCTTCCAACTTTATTATTATTATGGATCATCGCAGTCAGCCAGATGTTCAGACTGGATTTGGCATTTTGTCTACCTATCAAGTCCTTACCAAGGACCTAGGATAGGCAAATGTGGATGTTTGGTGGTATTACAGATATTGTCGCAGGATGGAAGCAGTTTCTAGTAAGGCCGCCTTTTGCAATTGACTAATAGCGAATTTGTCAATGCCAATGGTGTTCAAGTGGTGCTCCAGTTGTTTTGGGATTGCACTCAAGGAGCCTATTACTATTGGTACTACCCTTGCTTGCTTTTGCCACAGTCTTTCTATTTCTATTTGTAGGTCTTTGTATTTTGTTATCTTCTCCAGTTTTTTCTCGTCTATTCTGCCACGTCCACTATTCAGACTTTTTTGTCTTTCTTATCGACAATTGTTAAGTCTGGGGTGTTGTGTTGCAGGTGCTTGTCTGTTTGAATTCTGAAGTCCCAGAGCAGTTTAATTTTATCATTTTCTATGACTTTCTCTATTTTATGATCCCATCAGTTTTTGCTTACAGGCAAATGATATTTTTTGCAGATCTTCCAATGCACCATTGTTGCTACTTTGTCATGCCGCTGCTTGTAGTCAGTCTGTGCAATCTTCTTGCAACAGCTTACCAGGTGGTCCACTGTTTCTTCAGCTTCTTTGCATAGGCGGCACTTACTGTCTGTTGCTGTCTTCTCAATTTTGACTTTATGTCAGAATCTATCTGTTATATTGGGGCATGCTCTATCTCGCATGCCCCAATATAACAGCGCACGAACCACAGACTCTAGACCAATAATGGCAGAGTCACAACTGGCAGCGCCAGTAACCACAAGAACCCAAGCCAAAATAAAACCACAACTGGACAGCCAAACTGGGATTGAATTCAGAAAAAGTTTGGAAACAGATGATTGGTTCCAGAAAAACAAACATGTGTGCACAATGAGAGACGGATTGCCTTGGGTAGGGGAAAAGTTATATATACCAACAACTCAAAGACTAACTTTCATGCAACTTTGCCATGACACAAAATCAGCAGGGCATTTTGGATTTGTAAAAACTTTACACTTAATTAAACGGCAATTTTGGTGGCCATCAATAAAAAAGGACATAGAAAGTTATGTTGCCAGCTGCCCAACCTGTGCATCAGCAAAGAGGTTGCAAGGGAAATCGCCAGGGCTATTACAACCAGTGGCAAGTCCCTCAGCCCCCTGGAGGGAAATAGCCATGGATTTTATAGTGGAATTGCCAGAAAGCAATGGGAATACTGTTATCTGGACAGTCACGGACCTATTTTCCAAACAGGTGCACTTTATCCCTTGCCAAAAAATTCCCACTGCAAAGGCCTTAGCAAAACTTTTCATCCAGCACATTTACAGATTGCACGGGGCACCCCAACGCATCATCTCTGATAGGGGAGTGCAATTTACGTCTGCATTTTGGAAGGAATTTTTATCCCTCTTAGGGACCACTCAGGGATTGACATCTAGCCACCACCCTCAAGGAGATGGACAAGCGGAACGCTGCCAGTCGGTACTTGAGCAATATTTGAGATGTTTTTTAAATTTCCAACAGAGTGATTGGACGGACTTACTTCCTTTTGCAGAAGTTGCCTACAATAATGCAGTCCACTCCAGCACAGGCTACACTCCTTTTCAAATAGCCAACGGTCAAAGTTTCAACCCTATGCCAGAGTTAACCCCAAAAGAACCAACGATCCCTTCACTGAAAGAATGGATGGAAAACCTACAAAACACCTGGCCAATAGTCAGAAAATCACTAGATGAAGCTAGGCGGGCATACAAAGCACAAGCCGATAAAAAAAGGGTTGAGCCTACACCATTCATTATAGGAGAAATGGTGTACTTATCTACAAAATACCTAAAGTCCCTACAGCCCTGTAAAAAACTTGGACCAAAATATATAGGACCTTTTCCAATTAAAAGAATCATAAATCCAGTAACAGTAGAATTAGAATTACCCAAAAATCTCAGGCAAATACACCCAATTTTTCATTGCAGCTTGCTGAAAAGAGAGCATCAGTCACCTCTACGGCCAAAAATCCCCCCCCCACCACCTCCAATCATGGTGGTGGAGGGTGAACAACACTTCGAAATAAAGGAAGTCCTTGACTCTAGGAGATATCATGGAGCAACTCAGTACCTAGTTGCCTGGAAACACCTCCCTGCCTCACAAAACGAGTGGGTCCATAAACGTCATGTCAGAGCCCCGAAACTATTGAAGAAGTTTCACACAGAGTATCCCAACAAGCCTAACTAACTTTTATACCTGTTTTATTTTCTTGCAGGTAGATCTCTCTTATTGTTAAGAGGGGCCGGATGTCAGAATCCAATTATATTTCATCTTTAATTATCAAATATAGAAACTCTCAATTCTGCCTTCTCTGGATTCTGCCATCAGAGGGAGAGAAGGGGGAGAACAAAGGGGCTTTATGGCCCTCACTTCCTTCAGTACACTTCAAAGAGCTGAATGCTGAATGTGTGTTTATTATAACATCAAAGCGTTAGCACTAGAGGACCTTATTATAACAAAGCAGGATATTTGCCTTTCATGTAGTTACCTGAAGTCTCCATCCAGACGGAAGAAAGAAGAAAGGGGGGTGGAATTGTGATACTTGAAACTATCACTGGAAGGGGGGTTGATTGGGTGGGACTACTGGGGAACCCCTTAAAACCTTGAATGGGAGAGCTTGAACCCCAAGTCCTGTCTAGCATGCCTGCAACCATTTTCTCTTAATAAAGGATTCCTGTTGGAAGAATTATTCCAAGAGTTCTGTCTTCTTAAGATGCAAAGTGGGGTGGGTCCTTACACTTTATATGCATTTGTCCTTAAGGCTTGGTCTTGTGCAGCCAGAATTAGTCCCTCGGTCTCTTTCTTCAATTTTCCTGCTCTTAGCCATTGCCAGGTCTTGTTATTATCTGCTTTCCCAGCTATTTTTTTAATGTATTGGCCATGTAGTGCTTTGTCTTCCCATGCCTCTATTCTGTTCTTCATTTGGTCTTTCTTGTAGGCCAGTTTGGTCTCTCCAGTAGTTAGTAAGCCTTCCTGATATACTAATTTCAGTGCATCTTCATCATTGTTCTTCAGATATTCTTCCAAAGCCATTTTTTCTTCTTCAACCATCTGATGTACTTGTAGCATTCCACGCCCACCTATTTGCCTTGGTAGATAAACTGTCAATGTCACTGCGTGGATGAAGGTTGTTGTTGTTATATTATTATTATTATTATTATTATTATTATTATTATTATTATTATTATTATTATTATTATTTGTAGGTTTTTTTCTTGCTTTAGCCTCAGGCTAAATGTATTTATTTACTAGATTTTAATCCTGCTTTTATTATTTTTATAAATAATTCAAGGCGGCAAACGTATCTAATATTCCTTCCTCCTCCTATTTTTCCCACAACAACAATAACCCTGTGAGGTGGGTTGGGCTGAAAGAGAGTGACTGGCCTAAAGGCACCCAACCAGTTTTCATGCCTAAGGCAGGACTAGAACTCACCATTTACTGGTTCCTAAGCAAGCACCTTCAGCACTGCACCAATCTGACTGAATTGTCTAATCAAAAGCAAGAGGGTCACAAAGCGTAATACAAAACAGCTCAGTGCTCTTAGCAAAGTGTACCTAACTGTGAGATCCCCTTTCGGAAACTGCCTGAGACTCGGTAGCAAGTGCTTCCATCTCCTCCACATACCCGGCATCGATCCATCACCTGGGAAGAGTAGAGGCTGCCATCACACCCGATTGGCTAGGAGAAAAAGAAAAGGCCAGTTTGATATTCTTACCTATAGATCCATGCTTAGAAGCCCACTTTGACTCTTCACTTTTTGGATCAAGCTCTTTGGTTTTTTTCCTCAACTGATGTGTATAGCTCTATTTCTTATATATATATAATTCTTTAAAGCTTGGTTCTTTTCTCTGCTCCATTTCCCTTGCTCAAAAAATTTAGATTCTCACCATTACATTTTGGAGTGTGGTTTTAGCACAGCATAATGCTCCATAGCTCTTCTTCTCTCACTTCAGTTGCACATACATTTCACGAAACAGACCTTGACAATTCCATCTTCCTCCATTTAGAGATTTTTAAAGTAGCACAAAAGGGAGCTATAAAATTAGGCACAGACTGAGAAACAGTCTCTCTAATCGGAATAGAATTTAGTGATTTGTTAGACTAGATGAAAGCATCATCAGACAAAGAAAAGTATTGATATGATATTTATTAGACACATTAATGCAAAAATAGATGCCTTAAAAGTGAAATGGAAGTTACATCTCAACACCAGTCTACTGGGAGGTTGGGGAACTCTGTATTACCTTTCTTGATTTCCCTAAGGCCTCTAGCTTGAAACAGACGTTAAAATAGGAGGCTTTTGGTCTGTTCTAGCAGACTATTCCTGTGTACCTTTATTGTGTCCCAATAGATCTGGCCAATAGATCTGGCCAGCTGAGCTCATACATCTCAAAGATAAGAGTCGTCCTACCACAGTAGGAGTCTGGGAAAATATTCCTTTGGATCATCTATGAATCTAAAAAGCAGCTCCTTTGACCAAAGTTGTACCTCACACTTCCCACTGATACAGACTCCTTGGTAAGCCCTATCCTTGCATGATGTGCCATCCTGGGCTTGTGCCATGAGTTGTCTCTCCCCACTCCTTGAAGTACACTGGAGATCACAGGGCTTGTTAGAGATGCTGGTGTAATCATCTAAAGAAAAGCACAGGAGAAAAGGAAACAGGGTGTGTATGAAAATTTGGGTCAAGAGACTTATATACAAGAAGACATTAAAAATCAATTAAATAAAGAATGGGAATTTGGATCCTCCTAGCAATCATCACCATTGTCTATTCTTATTGTGGCTGCTAGGAGTTGTTATTCGGCAATATGTCCATGGAGATTCTCAATCATCTAGATCATGATTCTCCCAAAGATGCTTTTCAAAAGGCAACTGGACTTCGTTTTTTTCCTTGAAAAATGTTTCACTTCTCATCCAAGAAGCTTCTTTGGCTCTGGCTGAATGACAGGGAATGGAAAGATTTATAATCTTAGCTGTCATCTGGTCATTAGTTCTCTGAAGGTCATTGAAACCACTTGGGGATTTATCTGTACTCTCAGAGTCACCTGAATCAGACTGCAAATGGATGTGGAACCTTCTTGGTCCTCTGAAAGGATTGTGTTGCAGACAGGAGATAGGTGGAATCGTATCCCTCCCCCTCTGTTGAGAGAGGGCTGTTCAATTTTAATATAGATGGCATCTTTGGAGAAACAAAACAACCACTTCAGAAACGCACGGCAAACACAGAAGAACAAAACCATCAGGACAAGATTCAGCAGTCCACCTGCATTTGAAAAACAAAGGCCACTCTTCTGAAAACAGCAAAGTCCATATTCTGGACAGAGAGGACCATGGTTTGAAAAGGGTCAAAGAAGCCATCTATATTAAAACTGAACAGCCCTATCTCAACAGAGGGGGAGGGATATGACACCGCCTATCTCCAGTCTACAATAAAGTCCTTCCAAGCAGTACCAAGAAGATTCCACATCCACTTGCACTCTGATTCAGGTGACTCTGAGAGTACAGATAAACCCCCAAGTGGCCTCAACTCTCAGAGAGCTAACATCAGACCTTTAGACTGCTAATGACCAGACGACTGCTAAAAATATAACTCCTTCCATTCCTCACCATTCAGCCAGAACTGAAGAAGCTTCTTGGATAAAAAACAAAATGTTTTTCAAGGAAAAAAACAAAGTCCATTTGCCTTTTGAAAAGTACTGTTGGGTTATTCAATAACCTAGCGAATCACAAATTTTTCCAATTCAGAATTAAATAATTCTAAAAAATCATGGCTATTTTTTTAAAAAAAAACTTACCTGAGATCTCTTGCTGGTAGAAGCATATACATTGTACTTATCTTCTGATGTAAACTAGAACCTGACTAAAATGGAAGTAAGCAATTTTCAAATTGCTGCCTTAAACAGTGGAAAGCCATGGACTACTATTCCTTCATGTGTGATGTCACTTTAGATTAGATTTTCTTTAGATTAGATCTCTTTTACTCTTTGGGGTATATAAGAGTGAGCCTGGCAGCAACAACTCCTATTTCCACATTTAACAATCTTTCTAAAAACCTAAAATATGGTTTGAAATTAGATCATCAAAGTTTGCCAGTAAAATGTCCAAAGACCAACTATATAATTTCTGACTGGGGGAAGGACTTAAAGCTGAAATGGTAAGTTTCCCTTTCAGATGTAACTTGCTCCTATTTTCACTCTTAATGGGGATCAGGTCATAGAAAACCCATGCTGCTGAAAATTGGCCATCTTGCTACTGAATTTCAATAACAAAATGATTGGGGGGTGGGAGGAAATGACCAGAGTGTTACCCCTTCCTATTTGAAGGAAACCTGGTGTTCTTAAGGTCTACGGCAGGGGTTCCCAACCAGGGGCGCTCGTACCTCCTGGTCTATGTTTCATTATGGCTCTCAATTCCATGGCCCTACTTCATCTATAGCAGCAATTTTCAGGCTTCTTCTGAGCAGGCTAAAATAAAGTCAGTTAAATAGGCACACAAGAATTCAGCCATTCTGGCAAGCAGTTGTTATTACAGAAAACCTAAGAAGCCCTTTTGAAAGAATCATTCCAGTGACTGTTGTGTATTAAATGCAAGCTCTATTTATAATTATCAGTGTTCACGTTTCTTAGGTCTCTTTCTCTTGCCTGCTCTTTGTAAAGAGCTAGAATAAATTCTCCTTTGAGTGGGAGGTATTGCTTCCATCTCTCTCTCTCTCTCTCTCTCTCTCTTTTTTTTTTTTTTGCTTGTTTTCATAATGGCCAGAACCACCATCTAGTCATTTATTTTTGACCACATGAAAATGAACTTTAACTACAGTTACTTGATAACGCTATCTTCCTGGCTAGAGAATTCTCAATTAAATTCAGTGCTGTCTTCCCCAATCCAGATGTCTCCTTGATTTGTGACTTCTTGGGATTCCTTAACCACATGGTCATAATTGAGAATTTTAGTAATTGAAATTCAGATATCTGAATATCTTGAGGAAGGCTAGTATACTAAATTAAAATAATTGAGATAGAAAAATAACGTTGCCAGATATAACTGCTGTTGCAAATTAAACCTTTTCCTCTTTGTAGGAAACAGGAATAGGAAATAAGTAGCTTTTCTCCCACATCATTTACCTTTTTTCTCTATATCCATGTTATCTGCACACTAAATATGCTTGCTACATCTCAGTATGATTTAGTCAATAAAAGCTCACGTTACAATGTATCTTGCTATTTAAAATGGCGATGTTTTCTTGTTTTCTGGGAATAAACATTTGCTGTCTTCAACCTTCACAAAGTCTTGCAAACCCTCTTACCTCCTTGTGTTTTGATCTATAGTTTCTGCTTAGTAATTTAGCAAAGGCAAACCTGGGTAGAGTGGCATCCAATGATAATAGTGTTTCCCAAAGGCCTTGGCATTGAAACTGGCACACTGATGTTGCTTGAAACTGGCTGTGTTGGCAGGGCAAAGCTGGGGAGAAAAGAAACATAAGTCTGGTGCTTGTTCCACTGCCTCTCTATGCCAAACTGACATGGAATCATTTCCAAATATAACGTGAAACAGTATTTTAGGATGCATGGACTACATCTCCCAGAATGTCTCAGCCAGCTGGAAAAGGTTGATAAACAATGGAGTGAAAATCTGAATGGTATTATTTCATTGTATGAAGATTTTGAAGTTTTCAGAGAAATGTAAAGGTTTAGGACAAAAAGAGGTCAGAGGTCATCCATATCATTAAAAACCAAATAAATTATTTGAAAGTAAATAGCATGTATGAGTCTCTTCGTTAGTTCTTTATTTCCCTTCTTTCCATTTATTATATCAAGTGAGATTTTAATTTCCACCTGAAACAAAGAAGTCAGGTGAATAAATGAGTGATGAAAAAACATACACGTGGAGATTGCTAGGAGCAGCTTTTGAAGCAGCCATGCCAATATCAAAAAGGCATGGCTTTTCTAATGATTCACAAAGAAGTGCTTTCTATCTGCACCCTGTGTGTTTTAATGTACCTCTCTTCAAGATTCTTAATACGAGACATGCAATCCTGTTACTTATTAGCATTTAAAAGTTGGGTATGGGATGGACATGCCTTTTCAAATTTTATTCATTAAAGAGAATTTACAATACCTGAAGAGGAATGATTTCTCTAAAAGAGATATGCTGTGAAATGGGAAAGAATGTGGCTGCAGATTAAAACTAGTTTTGTGAACACTTCACTGGGACATTCATAAAGATGGACTGGCTGCAACGTCTCCTATTGTTTGCTTTTCAGAAGGACCTTGAGTAATTGGACTCTGGTCATATGGATCTGCAACTATGTTTCAGTTAGGTATTATACTTATAATCATGTCCAACTACAGTGGGTTATGGTAGGACAGGATTTTCTGTGGTACAGAACAAGAGTTTGAAATAAAGATGCATTGTATATTCACAATCCTTAAGGAGTGAATAAAATTGACAAGGAAAAGGGTTGAATTATGTTAAACTCATTCTCTTTCCTAAGCTAAGGTTCTTCTGATAAAGAACTTTTCATTGGGACAGCACTAACCCCAACTGCTGACCAGTAGTAGGATATCCCGTTCTATCATCATCAGGAGACTGTCATTTCTTTCAGCTGCATCTGTAATTTGTTTTTCTACCCAGTGTTTCTATTTCAATCGGTTTTTGAAGTATAACAAATTTGTAGAGTGGCAGATTTAACAGGTATAGTAGGAGTAAAAATAAACCTTCCAAGCAAATTCTCTGTGCTAAGTCAATTACTTATTATTCAAATAAGGACAAAAGCATGAGATGGGGGAAAAAATTACTGAACATTTAAGAAAGTCTATAGGCCCTTACAATGATCAATAAATATGAAGAATGAGACAAATTATATACAACCATTGGTTTTGAAGGAATTGTGTTTTCTGTTCTTTTATTTTGAAATGCTAGGAAGTACTGCAGATTTAGTAACAATAAAGTATAAATAGTGCCTAAAATAACCTCTTCCCATTTGCCCCCATACTTCATGGTTCAAAATGTTATTAGTTTATCAAAGCAAAAATATATTTAAAAAAGAAAATAAAGGTAAAATAGGAGAAGAAAAGCAGAAGAGAAAAAAGTGTAGGGTAGAGTGGAAAAAGAAAAAAACCCATTGACTTCTGACTCCTTTTGGTACAGTAGAATAAGATAATAACATGAAACTTCAACTTTTTACTTTTATATAATAATACATAATAGCCATTTATATAATACCAAACCTATCTAATCAGTCAAAATCAAAGTTTCATTTTTTTTTACTTTAAGCACAAAGTCCAAAAGCAGTTTCCAAGTATAACCAAAATTAATTGTGTTTTTTTTTTTTAATCAAAGCAGTCAATTTAGCCATCTTTGCTAACTCCATCAACTTTTGCTGCCATTTTCCATTGTGGGAATCACAGTGTCCTTCCATTTTTGTTCATAAAGTAATCTTGCTGCTATCAACATGTATAATATTACCATTTGCTCCCATACATGTTTAACTGCTGGTTGGGCTCTGCAGCACACAAAGAATCAAAATCATTCTTGACAATCAAATATAGTATCTATAAAAGATTCGCTTACCTGCTGTTGGCATAATTGAAAGCGCTTCGACTGACCCAGGCACATGCTACTATTTGTCCCCTGAGATACATGTAGCCTGCAATAAAAAGAGAATCCTTCTTCAAAAGAACTGAAAATGTTGACTTCAGAGAGGTTTTGGTTTAGAGTATGAAACACCTTTTGAAAAGGCTTTCTGAAACTGAGTTTCATATATATGGTAGCAGTGTGTTACTCCCTTCATTCAGGATGAGTTTTCAGTTTCCCTGTCTAGCCTATAGTGTGGTCTTCTATCCCAGGGCTTTTCAACCTTTTCACCCATTGTACCACTTTTAGGATATGGTAACATCTGAGTACCACCAGTCGCCTAGCAAGGTATCAAAAACTTGATGACCCCCCCCAAAAGTACACGTAGTCCTCGACTTACAATAGTTTGCTTAGTGACTCTTCGAAGTTACAATGGCACTGAAAAAGTGCCCCCCAAGCCACAGCCAAGCAAGACACCTGCCTGCCCACCTGGCGGCGCTCTTCCTCCTATCCGAGGTTTTCATTGTTCTGAGCATTTCTGTTGAGGATTGGCAGCGGGGGTGGGGTGGTGGGGTGTTTGGTTTTTATTCCCCCCCCCCCGTCTGCTGTGTGGTTGCAGCAGGTTTTGGTCACTTCACATGACCCTGGGACATTGTGACATTGGGACATTGTGACCGTCATAAATATGAATCAGTTGCCAAGCATCTGAATGTAAATCACAAGATCCTGGAGATCTTGTGATTCCAGCTGATTGGCGCTTCTTCTGGGCTCAGCGGAAGCGCCAGGATCAGTGCTGCTTTCCAGCTGATTGGTGCTTCTTCAGGGCTTAGCAGAAGCACCAGGATCAACGCCAAGCTCCAACTGGAGCCTGGCACTGATCCTGGCGATTCCACTGAGCCCTGACAGCCCTGCAGCTCCAGCCATCTCTTGCTCAGGCTTGTGCAATGCTGCCACTGGTTCAGCTCATTCCCCTCCCCCGCTACCACTTTTCTAGGATGGTCGCGTACCACCTGCCAGGTGCCAATGTACCACAGGTGGTACCCGTACCACTGGTTGAAAAGCACTGTTCTATCCAAATTCAGTTCTACCTAGTATGGTTGTGCAAAGTTTCATATTTTAATGGGAACGTAGAATTTAAAGTTTGAAGAATCCAACACCATCTACTCTTTAAAGATCCACCAAAGATTAATTTAGGTTATGCCATTACAACATCCATACAATAACTTTTGCTACTTCCCTCTATGCTGCAATTTCTTTCTTTAGATTAACTATGAGCAAAAACTCTGCATTAAAATCTATTGCATCCAGAAAAATATTCAGAATATCTCCAAATGGTTATCTGTGATTTCCTCAGCTTTAACTAATACTCTGTTCCAGAATTTCTGAATTCCAGTCTTCCAAAGCTGAACAGCATCACAGTTTTTTTCAGAGCTAACAGCGAAATAAAGCCAGCTCAAGGTAAATAGAACTTACTCCCAGGAAACAAAATACAGGATTGGAGAGTCCAAGCTTAACTTTACCACAAGGAGGTTTGACAATATCAAATTCTACATATCAGAACAAGCTGGAATGCTATCAAAGAAGCTTACTTCCCCACCTAACTTCGATCCTAAAGTGAGGAAGCTGCTCTCTAAGCCTGAAGAACACTTGTGGTAGACCTCCAACCAGTTAGGAAGACAGATGGCTCCTTCTTTTAGTGGGACTGGAGCACAGAGTCTTGCTCTTAATTTAGCTAATATGGATAGTCCTTGACTTAACAACCGCAACTGGTACCAAAATTTCCATTGTTAAGCGGTTGAGTCACACCTGATTTTATGATCCGTTTTGCCACAACATAGACATTTTTTTTAAAGTGAAGAGGCAAACTATAGGTTGTAGATAATCCTGCTAGTTGGTTCTTAAAAGGAGATCCTGGTTTGCCTTGTGAAAAGTAAAACTTATTTCTAAGTATATTGCGAATCGGGGTTATTTCCAAACAGAAAGAACCTCAGCATATCCAGACCTCAATTATTCAGCCACGCCGCATAAAAGGACACACATAAACTCACACAATTTTGACAGAAGGAAAGAGGAGCACTTCAGAAGTATGTTTATGTAGAAGAAGGAGAAGAAATGTGGATAAGCACAGTTGAGAAAAGTCTCCAATGCCAGTTCTCATTAGTATTCAGGGATCTGGAGCAACAGGTTAGAAGAGGTGCCTTCCTGGAGTTATTCAACTTTTGAGTGCAGGTTGAAGTTCGGGATGATTAGCTAGATGGAAATTTGAGCAACCGGGCTAAGGATGGGAGTATAGGAGTCCTTAGAAAGAAATCTATCATCACCTTTATGGAAACTGTACCTTCCCTGCACTTTAATCAGGGAATCAGCTCAGGATGTTACTTGCTGAACCTCAAGAAAATAAAGAGAAAACAGTGAGGATTACGAAGAGGAAGTGAGAGAAATAGAGCCACATGGAGAAAAAGTGATTTCATGAATTACTCTGCCAGATCTCAATGTTCTTTTTTTTAATGCCAAATGTATTGTGATGGTAAAATTGGCTTATCCAACTAAAGGTCCCACATTTCTCTCAAGTGGCCTTGGTCAACTACTTACCGCTGCCATAAGCAGTGCCTCTCTCTTGACATTACACCTCCTCCACACGTGCGGGAACATGTAGACCAGGAGCTCCATTCTCCCCACCATTTGGTGACCTCTTCATTCCAGGTACCAGCTTCTTCTGCTGCCTCACTACTGTCCTGACACAAACAGGGAAAGGTTACCTTAAGAACTCCAGAATGTTTCCCATTATCTCCTTTTTTCTAATCTCACAAGCTATTCCTAGATCCATATTTGCTGTATGACAATGTTTTGGTTCTTCTGATATAGACTGTTGGATATATGTAGATTATCTGCAAACTGAAACAAATGATGAAACATATAACAATTTGTATCTTCCTGTATATATTTGTTCCTTCCTGTATATATTTGTTCATTATTGGATGCCTCCATGTCCTGAGTATGCTTCCCAAGCCCAGTACTTGAGACTGATAAGTTATTTTTTGGGCTCTCTTCTCCTTCCTCCATAGGATTTACTTTAAAACTTTTATCTCAAACTCATTTTTTTTTTACTTTGGCTTTTTTCATTTTTAAATATCTTAACTCATATCTTTTTACCACTGAGGAACCTCCAATCCACTGGGCTAATTCGTGCTGTTAGTAATATGATTGTGATCTGGGTGCTCAGCAACCAGCCCGAATTTCTGACCATCATTGTGTCGCATGGTCATGTGATCACAATTTGCAACCTTCCCTGCTGGCTTTCCACTATCAAAGTCAATGGGGAAGCCAGTAAGAAGCGGAAGGCTCTGATTATGTGAGGTCCTCGTTTAATGACCCACAGTGATTCACTTACTAACTAGAGACTGATGGAACTGCTGCCACTGAGCAGTGCCGTTATATGACATCATGCTTAAGGGCATCATTTAGTGACAGAAATTCTGGTCCCAATTACAGTCTTTTAGCTAGGACTACCTGAATTTCTCTTGTATCACCTGCAGCCATAATATCATTTTCCTGTATTACTCTGTATGGTTAGAAATATATATATGTGTGAATAATACAGAGAAAACAGAATTGATTGAGATGCTATAGAGAAATAAAACAGGCTTCGTGTTAGCCTCTGCAATCGGTTCCTGACAGAATTATCTATCCACATAAGGTACACAGATAAGCTATGAATTCCAGCATATGAAAAAGACTGTCTGCTGCGTATCTGTATGAGTCATTGTCCTGGATCTTCCAGAGAGTGACAGTGAGTGTGGGAAGGAGTGGAAAATGGAGAGGAGCTGCTGTATCTCCTGGAATGTTAGTAGCTGCTACAGAACTACATAGAAGCAGCATAGTGCACCCTGATTACATTTCTATCCATGAGAGATGATGATGTCATTGGCACTGCACACTGCTTTTGTTTTTCTGTAATTTCGGGAAAGTCGGTGCTTATGTATCAGTGTGAGCATTTGAAGAAGGTGATGACGAAATTAAAGTGTTGCCTAATGACAAGCGTGCATCTATTTTGAACACAGAGAGCTGAAACATCTTTCCAGCTAATAGAGGTTTGGGCTTCTTGCCTAAATCACTGAGATGCATTTGAAAGGACCAGCAACGCTCCCCATCCCAGATGGAAAAAGAGGTGACTCTTTCTTATTCAAAATGAAAGACTGGAGGAGGGTTCCCTGTGGGGTTTCTGAAAAACAGGGCTACAATGGGTTCAGTGATCCACGAAATCTAAGGCAGCTAAAGCAAGTAGACTAAAATGGGGAGGGGTTCCCTCCTTCATCTAATGGCAGAGGTAGTGCTTGATGGCCTGAATTCTTAATGGATGTTCTGTAATAATGAAAGGGTGTGATGGAGAACTTTTTACAATTGTGGGGAGACCAGGGCTCTAATTGGAACTTCATGTTGGTCAGGTCAGAAGGTATGTCTTTGCATGTCTCACAAAAGGCTAAATGAATACGCCATTCTTCCCTACCTAAAATGGGAGAAGGAAAAGCTGGCAGTTCTTCTTTTTTTTTATTGAAAATTTTTAGATATTTTTACAAAAAGCAAAAAAAAAAAAAAAAAAACAACCCTCCCCCACCCACCCCAACCCTCCCTCTCCATCCCCCCCGATCTTCCCAGAGCTGAGTATAGGCTTAATTAAAATTTTTAAGAATCTTAAAAAAATTGAAAAAATATAAATCATAAATATATCTAAATACTTACATAAACAATTTATAAAGTAATTAACAATAAAATATATGTAAAAAAAGCATACGTATTAAAAGGAAAAAGTACTTGAAAGAAAAAAAGATAATAAAAAAGAAAAAGAAGAGAAAGAAGAAAAGAGATATAAAAAGTACAATCTATAAAATATTAAAATTTATATACAAATTATTAGAAAGCTAAATGATATTTTTTATATCCAATTTATATTGTATAAAATTTATCCATTTTTCCCATACCGCAAAGAATTTCTCTTGCGATTGCTCCTTTAAGAAAGCCGAAATCTTTGCCATTTCCACCAAATAAGAAACTTTAAAAAACCACTCTTGCAAGGTAGGCAAAGATTCCTTCTTCCAATATTGCCCTACTAACAGCCTAGCGGCCGTAATCAAATTTAACATCAATATAACTTCCTTAGCATCACAATCAGTAACAATACCTAACAAAAACAATTGTGGGGTAAATTTTACCCTCTTTCTAAAAATTCTTTGAATATTCCACCATATCTTAATCCAAAAGACTTTTATATTTTTACACGACCACCAAATATGATAATAAGTAGCATCCAAACAACCACATCTCCAACATTTAGGCTGTAAGTCAGGATACATACGAGACATTTTTTGTGGATCAAGGTGCCATCTGTAAAACATTTTGTAAAAATTCTCCCTTAAGTTCTGGGCTTGTGTAAATTTAACATTCCTCACCCAGATGGTTTCCCAGGTATCTAGTAGAACTGGTTCACCAAAATTTTGTGCCCATTTAATCATACATTCTTTAATTAGTTCTGATTCTGAGTCCAGTTCTACTAGCACCCCATAAATTCTCTTAATGTGAGTTCGCCTTTGATCTTTTACTTGTTTAAAAAGATTTTCATCTTCTCTGAGCAGACCCACATTACGATCTATCTTCCATCTATCAGCTATTTGTCTATACTGAAACCATGAATATATAATATTTTCACGTGCTAAATCTTCCAAAGATTTTAACTGCCAATTTTTACCATCCCACCTGAGTAATTGCGCATAAGAAATACTATCCATCTTAACTCCTCTTCTTATCCCCTCTATCGCATGCCAAGGTATAGCTCATAATGGTATTTTAAACTCACTTTTATAATATTTCCTCCAAACCCGAAGTAAAGAAATCCTTATAATATGAGATTTAAAAACCCGATCCACTTTTTTATTAAAAATTAGATAGGCATGCCATCCAAAAAGTAAATCCCAACCCTCCAAATGGAGTATTTCTACATTTGTTAAATCAACCCAATCACTAATTAGTGTTAAAGCCACAGCATCATAATATAATTTCAGATTCGGTACCTTGAGTCCATCTCTCTCACGGAAGTCTTGCATAATTTTAAGCTTTACCCTTGGTTTTTTCCCTGCCCAAATAAATTTGTTGATACCTTTCTGCCATTCATTTAAATTAACCTCATTCTTTAAAATAGGTAACATTTGAAATAAAAAAAGAAATTTTGGCAGGACATTCATTTTAATCACTGCAATTCTTCCCATAAGAGATAACTGTAACTTCTCCCAATTTTTCAAATCTTTTTGTACCCTAACCCACAGCCTTTCATAATTGTTTTTATACAATTTTACATTAGAAACAGATAGGGTAACCCCCAGATATTTTATCTTATCAACAACTTCAAAGTCTGTCAGATTAACCAAAATCTGCTTATCCAAATTAGTCATATTTTAGATAATATTTTAGTCTTATTATTATTAATTTTAAAACCCGAAACCCGTCCATATTGGTAAATCAGTTGTAATAAATTTACTACAGAATAGGTAGGTTGAGACAAAGTAACCACCAAGTCATCTGCAAAAGCTCTTAATTTATATTCTTTTTTGTTAACTTCTATTCCTTTTATTTCCTGCGACTCTCGAATTTTAATCAACAAAATTTCCAGAGTTAAAACAAACAATAACGGTGACAATGGACATCCCTGTCTTGTACCTTTTTCTATTGTAAAAACCTCTGACAAACCCCCATTAACAATAAGTTGTGCCATTTGTTTTTGATATATAGCACCAAAAGCTTGTAATATTTTTTCTCCAAAATTCATTTCCTCAATTAATCTTAACATAAACTGCCAATTCAATTGATCAAAAGCTTTTTCAGCATCTAAAAATATCAGCCCTGCGGAAATTTGGTTATTCTTATCTAAATATTCTAATAAATTAATAATTTGTCTAACATTATTCTTCATATACCTACCAGTTATAAAACCCGATTGGTCCTTATGTATAAGCTGATGCAAAATCCTCATAAGCCTATTAGCTAAAATTTTTGCAAAAATCTTATAATCTACATTTAAAAGAGATATGGGCCTATAATTCTTCGGTAAAGTGAGATCTTGATCCTCTTTTGGAATCAAAGATATAAAAGCTCTACGCCATGACGGAGGAATCTCTGAGCCCTGTAGTATATTATTAAAAAGCTCACATAAAGGTTGAATCATCTTTTCTACCAAGGTTTCATAATAAATGGATGTCAAACCATCCGTACCCGGTGCTTTACCTAATTTTAATTGCTTAATAACTGTCACAATTTCCTCATTGGTGATTAAACCATTAATTTCTTGTTTCTGATCTTCTGTTAATTTAGGGAAGTTGGCCTCACTTAAATAATTATTTATATCTAAAGTTTGTACATTAGTACTCTTATATAATTTTTGATAATAATCTAAAAAAGATTTCTTAATCAACTCCTTCTGATAAACTAATTTACCATTATAATTTATTTTGTCTATAATTCTCTGTCTCTGTTTCTTTCTTAATTGATAAGCCAACCATCTCCCTGGTTTATTAGCATTGCAAAATGTATTTTGTTTCATAAACAATAAATTAGTTGCGGTTTGATCCGCCATCAACATATTAAATTGTGTTTTTAACAACTTTATAGATTCTTTAACCTTTTCATCTGTAGGATTTAAAATCAAAGACTTTTCTTTTAATTTAATCTCATCTTCCAGTTCCTTATG